AGAGAGAGAGAGAGAGAGAGAGAGAAAGAGAGAGTAATGCTCTTCTCTATTCTATCTACAACTATTACAGAGGTAATAGATATATAAATCAGAGAAAGTTATAGTAATTATGCATACAACAAAACCGATAACAAATTAAAGACATGACTGTTTGCGACTGTCTATTACTGCTTCATCTGAAAAGTGGTTTTTAACGTTGAAGTTAAGGCCTAAAATTAACAGAATAATTATCAGGAATTCGCGGTTCTCGAAAATAGAGATTCGCATAGATTTCCGTCGGATGGTGGTTGGCAGTTCGGGGTTGGCATCCTTTGCGGCGCACATCCCTTCTCTCTCCCCCATCGTCGTAGCGCCTCGCTTGAAACCTCGTAAACCCGGGAACGACCAATTAAACGAAACGAGCAGCGCACTGATGCACTCTCCTCTCTGGCTGGTTGCCTGCCTGCTGGCATTACCTACAGGTTATACGACTCACGGAATTACCCTCAAATTACACAGTTCGTACCGATGTGTGCACTTCCCCCCACGGTGCGAGGCTCTGTATACTTACAGCCGGATAACAACCGGGCTGCTAGCGACGCCACCATTCGCTACGATCAAGAGAGAGAGAGTACGCTCTCGCGTAGTCTTCGTTTACTCCCTATCGAAGTCGACGCGCTCGAACGAGAGATCCGCGAACCTTGTCAGAGGTATACTTGGCAGGGAGGTAGTAGACTCGCTGATGATTGACCGGCAACCGAAGAAAGTGACGGTTATGAGGGGCGTTCACACGCGCGTTCGGTTTGACTTAACCTGCTCTCAGAACAGCATAAGTTCCGGGAACCTATAAACTCGGTAGTTGCCTATCCGTTCATTTTTACCACTTTTGCCCTTGCATGAAAATATTTCTGTAAAAAGTGGACACGTCTAAGAAAACCTGAATCCCTGCCTGTGAGAACTAATATTCTAATTGTACAAGTGATTTGAAACGATAGAGTTATCCAAACATCTAGGTAAAGAAGAAGACTGAGATATCAGGACTGAAGATAACGGGACTAGAGGAGACATTGGATCTGTTGCTAATGAACGACCTAAATGTCTGATACAAAACGCTATTGTGGCATACTATATTACATCTATCTGTTGGGTATGTGTATGTACACGCTCTCTATTGTGTAATAAGATAGGTAACCACTGTTGTCATGACCTTTTTTACTTATATGAATTTCCAATTCCGCGAAGCGTCTCACTGCGCCGAAAACCGTCCACACGACCGTCGCCGTCGAATACATTAGTGATTCCTAGCGGGCGATGCGTCGTAATGAATGTTTCCGGTGACAGCCGACAGCGGGGAATGCCTCCCGCGACAAACAATGCGGCTCTGTTCATCGGAACCGCTTCCAACCCCGTGTCTCTGTGTGCACATCGGTAACATTTCGCCGCCGCCGCCGAGAGAAGCCGTCGCCACCCCGCTTACCCGAAATTCATTCCTGCCATGCCCGATCCAGCCGATCGCTTTCTTCGTTCTTCGAGGTATGCCGCTTGTTCGACCGTATGCGCGGCTTCGGTGGATTATAGCTCGTCAGATTCTGGCTCAGCCGTTTTGCGTCGCGAGACTTTCGAGAACTAGATACGTTCCTCGCGTAACGCCTGAGCAATTTGCAGATATTGATTATGCGTTTAACTCTAAATCACTGACGTGAAGCAGTTATCGATTGGCATTTTTGTTTTGTACAAAATGTCGGAAAGAGTTATATAGCTGAAATATGCAAAGGTAAAAAAAAAAGTTGTATAGATCCTTGATTATTTGTAAGATCGTTATTTTCCACATTTTTCCCTTAGATGTAAATTACTCAAGTGTAATGTTATTTCTTATTTTCATACTATTCGCGCGGTTAGATTTATGTTGACACGACTCGCTGCCCACTGAGTGGCGCGAGTAGTAGCACTGGCACGCGAAGGAGAGAATCTCGCGCTGTGTAATACACTATAAACGTGTATATATATAATCGTCTCCATTAAATACTTACATTTCTGCTGTACTTTAAGGATTCTGAAAGATACTATTCAAGCAACCATCTGCCTTCTAAGAATTTGACGTATCCTGACCGTAACTTTTTCTATAAAAGAATTTTGTAGATTATCTCTGTGGTCGCGGAATAATCGAATCGGCTGTTACATTGTGGGAGGTCTTAACATATCCAAGTAGAAAATTGGCCGATCTGTTAGCGATTCGGTATGCATGCGTCCGAGAAGCGGGGCGCGAAACTACACTCGTGGTCTTCGTTCTGCGTTACATATGTGCTCACATTTCGAGCTCTACCGGCAGATTCGATGTCGGAATGCAGAGCCACTTGTAGGGGCCACCCAATGCTCGCGGAGTCCATTTCCATTGTTGGCGGCTGTATCGGTAGCCGAGCCGCGAGAATTCCAAAGCTTCGTGTAGAGATACGATTCGTTCGTGTGCAACAGTAACGTACCATACGAATCGCACTGCTTGCATCGCTCACATTATTTATACAGTGATCCATAATCGTGGCGAAGATATCCCTAGAATGGGATTACGCGCGAGGCGGTGAATCCTAATATTTGACGTCTCTCATATATATAATAGTAATGGTCAAATAATAAATTCTAACCGGTCACCCAAAAGAAAACCACGATGATGACAACTTATATATCTCTTTCTGTAACTTTATATCTTTAACGATAACTGCGATTAAAACTACACCTTTAACTAATCCGTTATAGACGTTATCAGTATGATGAAAATAGTAGCATATATTTAAGCGATGACAAAAAAACCATTATTATTGAAAGAAGCTAATCGATCCCTAATTTCTATTACAAGTCCGACACATTACAATTAGTTTAATACAACTTAGACTCGTCTATATATTTGAAATGTAATTCTTCAACATATTTTGTAATTTTATTCGATGTTCTTCTGTGTGTAAATTGGATTAAGTATTTTACATTTAATTATACACGTTATGCGAATACGGATGCAAAAACAGAATTTAACATAGTGCACCTCTATGATCAATACTCCAGAAGTTGATTTCCATTGTTGGAGTCTAACCGGTCTGCAAGAATTCCAAATTCTTGTACGGAGATTGAATTTGATCGCGAGCCACAGCGTTCCATGTGGTTCCTACCGTTTGCATTGCCCGCATTATTTGTACAGCAGACCGTAACCACCACCGTCGCAGTAAAGACATCCCGTATCGTTCATTGGATCTTGAAACGTTTGTGCTTTAGACCACACAATGCGGGCTCACGTTCTTGCTGGGATTTAATGGATACACTGTGTGCGAAATAGCTACACTGAGAAGCTCTAATCTGTGAAGTGTTCGGACTTATTTAAAGTAAAATATCATTAAAGTTTGTTGTCTCGTTAATACATGGGTCTATTAACCATCCAAACTAAGTCAAAGCTCTCAAATGCAATCAGGATCGGCGGATTTAAATATAAAGGTTGTTTTAAACAATTCATACACTTTTAAAAAATCCATTTAGATACCACGTTTATGTATGTAAGCTGCGTCATTGTAAACGACCTGAGATTCATACCAGTGTGTTTGGATCATATAGCATAGGGTCTTTAAAGAGTAGCAGAGAGTCATTGATCAGAGACGAGGTTATCTCTTGTCTCTGCAAGAGATGGCCGAATAAAAGGCACCGACAACGTCCAGCAGTGAGCCATACATCAACTCGCGACCTGAAGTAAATAAGCGGTGCCCTGTGCGACCCCCTAGATATACTCGCTTCTCGGTATGAGCTATACACGCGAAGCCGTCGTGATAAATATCCTTCTACAAAGTTGATCACTATGCTTACGCATTAAATATAAATATAAAAGATTTCTATTCTCTTAAAGAAATCAGATGCTCTACATTTCCAAGCGATGTGTTAGATATTTGCGAATTTTACATTTTTACATACTAACTTTACAGCTTATATTGCGACAACGTCAAAAGATAGAATAAAATATAGCTTACAAATTTAATTCATGACGCGCGTTCTTTGTAATTAGTAACTTGTTGACCGATCATAATAAATATGCAATGGATATAAAAAGGCTAAAAAGGCATAACTTAAAAAGGCTACAAATACGAAGCAAAAATAAGCTACCGTTTTTAATGACGGTGCTGTAACATTTATCTGCTACTTTATTGATCGACAGTATAAATACGCTGATAAATATATGCTGGGAACACAAGCCTCTCTTACTATATCGTGAATGGTTAAAAATAACATGATGCGTGTCGCGTAAATAACTCTCGACGGGAGATAATCAACTCAAAACATTTGTCATCGTTGCAACCGTTGTTGAGTTAAGCAAAATGGATTATAGACTCAAACAGAGACACGGATTGAAATATAACATGCAATTTTTAAGTAATGTCAGTTCTCATTATATCACATTTTTAATAGTCGAATTTTAACATTAATTTGCATAAATAATAGCACTTCTTTGTTAGTCTGAAAATTTATTACATATAGTTTATGTTGTCACACATATCTTTTTATGAATTTTTATTAATTTGTTTTTATATATACAAACAAAACATGTTTCTATATTAAGCAAATTATAAACATTGTATTATTCATGGCAGACGTCATCGTTATCATTACCAGAAATACAACAGTCATTGAGTAAATATTTGTGCGTAAAATTATTTTTTTTTTTTATATTACGACTGTGATCACCAATCTAAAGTGTACATAAAAGTAACAGTTTTGTGTGTCATGACACTTGCGCTATAATATCACCGCATTATTAAATATCATGGCATTACTCCTCTATTTTTCGTAATATACACATTTTAAATATATCTACTTCTCGCACACCAGTGCACAATAAACATCCCTAAAATAGCTATCCGGCTGGCAGTTAAACCGGTAATATGTTTCAGGAGTAAATGGCCGGATTTTGATAAACACAAGTTATGCGCTTACGCGCAATGTCTTTTCGGCCGTTCAATAAATTAAAGTCTCCCTTTTCCCCTATGCATCTGAGCATTTGCCATCCGGTACGGAAACGTTAGTATGATTATAATTTATTCTTGATTAGCATTAATCCTCACGTTCGCTCAGTTGCTCCCTTCTTCTCTCTTTCTCTCTCTATCCCTTTATCCCTAATATGGTATCCCCTGCAACCTCTTCCCTTTACCTCTCTTTCAGCATTAGCTTCACCGTAGCTTTTATTGGACCATTGGTCCGGCCGTAACTTACACTTATGATTATTAATGCCGACAGATTTATCGGGGATTGGCACGAAAATCTGAAACGTGAAATAAAATGGTACATAAATTCAATTAAGGCCGTGTGCCGCGCATGAAAGTATCATAGCTGTGGACCTATAGCACGGCATGGCGCATTTTCCTGAGCGAGTGTTCCACTGCTGGATACCGACAATGTCGATAACTCGAGTAGTTAATTCGATTATCACTCGAGAATGATACAATGTTCTCCACGGTGTCGTTGAACATGAATAGAAACCACCGTAGTATGGAAAAAACGAATGAAAATTGCTTGATATCGAACATTGACTGCGCACCGTTCGGATAGTGTTTGAATGCTTAATTCAAGCGGTTTTTTCGTAGATAATTGATAAATATTGTGATATTAATTGTAACTACTATATCGTATATACTACCTAAGTAAGTTAAGTATCGAAAATAATAAAAAAGAATTTAATTGTCCCGATTATTCAAACAAATCTGTAAGACTTATTCGCGCGTATGGTATATCCTCCGAGACGTAATTAAGATCGGGAAGAAAAACAGATGTGATTCCTAACATACTAATTATAAAAACAGAAGAAAATCAAAAACAGACGTGTCATTATAAGTCGTTAATCATATTCGATTTTTTAAATAATATACAACCTCACTCAATTAGCTGTTAACTAAGCGCGATTACTTTTTCCATCGCTTTCTTATACATAGGATATTTTTCTCAAGATCTTGTAACGCATCAAGTAATTATAAATATCAGGATAGCCGATCGATATCGGCACCTCGCGTTAATCCAAGTGACGTTATGAATTCAAAACCGGTATTAACCGCGGTAAGAAAAAGCATCAATAACCGAACGCGTCAAGATGTCGCCGTACTTGATTAATGGAGTGACTGTTGGGTGGTGGTAATGATGGATGAGAAGTATGTCGTTTCTGGATATGGATGATTAATCAGTCCACATTCGCTTCACTGAGAATTTTACTATTAAATTTATGTAAGGTTCGTTTGATTGATTTATAAAAACAATGTTATAAGATACCAAAGAAATATGCGCTACACATACGCATCTGTTCGTAGATACGCACAAACGTATACATTACATTACACATATAAAGTATATATTCCAACGCTTTTTAAGTGGGGTTATAAATTAACTAAATGCTTAATTATGTTAGTATACGAAACAAGCGCAAATGTTAAATAAAACGCACTATCGTCGCGTAGCGTATTGCTTATTGACAAACTTATAAATAATATGTGCTATTTTTCTTTTTCTTTCTCTCGCTGTCTTTCTATAATATCACACAATATAATATTTTACGTATCCGCAATCCCCACAACTCCTAATCCGCACTTGTGTTCGTCAGCGCCGGTCCTCCGAGACTTGAAAGCGACATTAGCCACTCTTATCCATTCAAACAAAATGTCAAAGTGTCAGATGATAATGCGCAGAAGATAAATCAAGCATGCTGAAAAGATGACGGTGATAAATGTAAACACGTCTGCCAGGCGGCCCCGGAGATAGTTACCGAGATACACGACGGGTCGTGACTGATGGCGATGTCGTGAGATGTGGTATCATAATAATTCATAAAGGCCGAGGCCAGAGGCTTAATCGCTGATTAATGAAAGAACAGACTTGTCTCGATTTCTGCTCCTTCTTTTTCTCTTTACATCTTTCTCTTTCATTATCCGATCCCCTAACATACCTCTCGCTTCTTCGTCTTCTTCTTCTTCTTCCTCTGCTTCTTAGCACGACTATGCTGCCGCTTGATGTATGTATATGTGCCGGCAGAATGGAATGAGTAATCCGACATGTGTTCGTTTGGGCGATAGACCCAATTAATGCCGCGGCGGCTCTGTCCGTAACTCATCGAGGATAGTTCCTTCTACGAGACTCTTTGACGCAGAGTTAAATATATGACGATATAATAAATATGCATATTCCACCTTCATTCACTATAATCATTTACAGATAATAATGATTAATCCTAATTTCTTATGCTGAAATCTCTTGTGTTATATCAAATTTTATTTTATATTTTATTCTTTATGTTCTATCATGTATTTTACAAGATACTATAGATGATAACTATGAACTTTGTCAGTCACATTTTTGTATCTAAGCTGTAACAATTTAATAGTATTTAACAGTAGATTTTGTCTACGTATCTTATAAAAAGATATTATAATTTGGTAATAACGTTTTCAGACTCATTGAAAGTGATGCCATCCTTTTTTTTAGACCATTTTATCCTATTTTTATTTTCTGTGATTAGCCATCTAAGTATTTATATAAAAATTTTTATTAAAACATCAGCAGAAAATTCTATAGATTTTGGACAAGATTCAACAATTAGTTACGTGGATAGCCAGATAATAGAAGATAATGCTTTTACCAACAGCGGACTCTCGATCAAGTATTTACCGCCAAAGGTAAATCTGAAAGGTTATCTTCTATCAACTAATATCGCAATTTCGAATTATTTTAATTTCATTTTAATGATTATTAATATAATAACTAATTTAAACGATTATTATCGGATATTTTATGATATGGTTTATAAATTCAGAGATAGAGAAAATGGAACGATATTAGTGACCATCTGTGTATACTATCCTTATATAAATCAGTCTCTATTTGCAGTATGGTAAAATAATTAATGTTATTATAGCAGAGTACTAAATGTGACATTTCTTCTTCATTATCACTTTTGGAACAGAGTTTGAATATGATTGTAAAAGAGTTTTCCTACTCGAATTTTATCATTAGAATATTCAAAATTGTGAAATTAACAGGTATTTCGTATTGAAATATCGGATGTTATTTTGAATATAGTAATCTTTTTTTTTTTTTCTTAAAATCAGTCATCTCTATATCAATTTACGTAACTGTGTTCAACGAAGCTTTCGTTATACGTCCGTTCCATTCGTTGGTATTCCGAATCATCCTCGATTCCCCGTCCGCGTTCACTGCGGACGCGTGTTGAGAATGATACATTATTTCCCATGCGAATGTTTCTTTGCCGCGTAATGGCCGATAAATAACACAAATTAATGCCTTATTCCAGACATGTCGGTTATTTATACCCCGGAATAACTTTATCCCGGCGCGTGATTACAGGCAGACACGCAGCCCTGCGTTCTACTCGCTCCCACACATTCCTACACGCATACATAGAATGACGCGATATACGCATTCGACTCTGTACTAAGTTCGTATATCGAATTACCCACTTGGAGTCATGGAATGTAGGTGAACTCGTCTTGATATTTCTGCATTTGTGACGAAAAAATGTCAGGTTGCGCTCGGATTTAAAATCCAACAGATGCACAATCAGTTCTAATAAATTGATATGTCGAAAAATATATCTTTTATTTATATTATTACGTCACCCTTACTCCGCATTCGAATGTGTGAATAGCGTGTTCCTACTGTGTCAAAACATATTCACACGCTGAAATATAAGATTGCTTTTTCGTTTTTCCAGCTCTTTATGATACTCCTTCGGTGTTCTTGCTGGTAAAGGTCGACGTTGTCGCACTAATTGCACGTCCAAAGCACAATTTACAGGCGTGAATCGCCAGTCGTCGTTTCGTCGCGAAGAATAAGTAGAGATGTAGAGAAGAATAAGTAGAGAAAATGATAAAGAAAGAGAGAGGGCAAAAAAAAATATATATATGCATATATAAAGACAAAAGAGAGACAGGGGAAAAAAAAAACACGTATCACATTTTTAAATAGTGTTCTCGAAATATCAGTAACATGTATCAAATTTTATATTGTGGGCGTGCGTGTCTATGACAAATTATAATTTTATTAATCGCAAATCATGCCTGTGATTAAATCTTAATTAATATCTCTTGTTAATTTATGTTCTTAATTGCATTACAAATTATAACGAGTTACGCAAATATAAACACAAATACATACTCGTTCAAAATCACAGACTGTGCTAAATTAAATAAAAATACGAATTACGTACCAAAAGGATTTCCTATGACTTGGAACGATTAAAGGGACTGACGTGCGGAGATCGAAAGAAAGAGCGTATGTGTGTTTTGTGTTGTTCGTCGTAGCGCGGGAAAGTTTACAGGCCTGCTAACCCCGTAGGGACCGTCCCTCTTCTTCTCTCCCTCTTCGACCGTACATCGATTCGTTTGTCAAGTAACTTTCGAGTCTGGGGGTGAACCAATATTTCAGGAACAGTGGAACCAAGATTGAAGCTAGGAAGCGATGGGGAGGCTGCTGACCGCAGAGAAGATAAATTTGTTCCGCAATTGAGACGGGCGTGCCGCAGTAAATCTTGTCTATTAGGTATCACTTCTTCTTTCCCGCTACAGGTATAAAACTATAAATCGAGAGTAGGAAGACACCACCGTATTGAGCTTGACCACGGAGACAACCACATACAAAGAGACAGAGAGAGTGAAAGAGAGGAGGGAATCACGTATATGATTAAAAATTACATCTGGCACACAATTGGTTCAAATTATTATTTTTGTAATACACTGTGACAACATCGACATTTTTAATAAACACAGCGTTCCAGATTCGTCTCCGTTCGTGTGAACGTAGAATGGATTGAGGTGAACATAAAAGTCCCATACCGTTTCGTGATATTCGTAATAAATTTCGAGATATACATATGTATATAAAACGAGAAAAAGAAATACAAATTTATAAGTAAAACAATTTAATTAAATTTTTTTATAGAGCTGTTGCTGAGAGAGAGAGAGAGAGAGAGAGAGAATCTTTATTTTATAAATAGATCAGATTTAAATTTCTCGACATCTATTCGTGTTGCATTTCAGTTAGGCCAAAATAATTTCCGCCAAAAACAACAAACATTGAACTCGTAAATGTTTCCTGATAAAAGCTCTATCAGTTTTTACTAAAGATAGAGAATAGTAATCGAGAAAGGTGACTTCTCTTCAACATGCTTTGCAACGTGGCACTTTCAAAATAGATGTTAGAATCAAGGAGCAGGTAGAAACAAACTCCCTCGAACAAACTTTTAAAACCTTCGGTGCAGTAATATTTTAAAATGTTGAGATGCATCGTCGAGACAAAATTTACAAAGCGATTTCTCGTATTATTGCCTCCTCACAAAACCAAACGTTGGATGGGTATACAAAAATCAGTGAATACAAAGGGAAACAAAAACCGACACAATGTTACGGTCGAAAAAAAGTCAGGTTCATAAAATGTTTAGACAGACTGTCATTTGATGACAAAGGAAGAATAAAGGAGTTTACGACAGACACAATAAATATACTTTAAAGATATATCTCCTGCTTGGCTGGTATGTATATGGTAGATACGTAATCGTATCTTTACTAGACCTAATATTATTCGTTTTTTTTTTCAACATGATAGCAGCACATTATTGCTCGATTCTAGCTTCAATGGAATTTTTTCAAGTATATTACTTTCCTCCAATAAGGAAATATTGACCAAACTTAACCTACTTTAAACCTCAATTAACCATAACGGCAGATGACAAACATGCCATCATGCGAAAATGTGATAAATTCACTCAGAATAGGTGATTTAGTTGACCAGCTACTCGAGATCTTCGTCCGAACGAGTATGTATCTAATGGAGTCATTGTTCGGTCCATGTTCATCCAGAAACAGCACGCTAGGTACGCGTAACCCACCCGTTAATACGTCCGATACCTTGACCGCGTAATCTTTCGCAGGGGCAGGAGGTAATTAGCAGTAACGGACGGTTACGTCCGATATACGAACAATGGAACATCGGCGATGCGATGGGAATAGGAAGAGGGCGATGGCTGAGCGAGTATGATAAATGAACGGCGCCTGACAAGCGGCCATCGTTGCTCGATGATGGATGGCCGACGGTCCCGCTCCCTAATTATTTCATACTTTGCAATCAGAACGATAATCCATCCGCGATACCTGCAGCCTGTCATGGATAAATCATCGGTTATCATTCCTGAGTCACAACACGTGTGCGTACGTTCACGCGAACGCAAAAGATTTGAACGAGCGGAAAGGGGAAAGAAGAAAATTACGTTGTGTCGCTGGAGTTTAACAACGATACAAATTTTATTGTATTGTATTTTGTTAATTAATTGGATTCTACAATATTATTTGAAGCCCATATATTATTGCTGCTACTAATCAATATTTCTTAATCTACAACTAGATGTAAACATCGTAAAAACTCCTTGGGATCTCTTTTGATGATATTTTAAGTCTACGCTGATGACCGTGGCTTCAACGATAATGACGGAAATCGTGGCACGTAATTGGCACTAGTTCCATAAAGGATACTCTTCTTATTTTTTATTGGTATCGATGTCAATTCAACGACGAGGCAATAATTTGAAGAATATTCTATCAAAGGACCTTTATGTAAACAATTAAATCCGCTGTGTCTAATTGCCGCGGATGATTTTCAAACCACCCATCATCCTGTGCCTAATAAATGGATACAGCGGATCTCGTAAATGGTATAAAACCCGGTCCATTATTTTGAACGAACGCCGAAAATTACAAAGGACTGTCTAATTTACTTCTTGGCGGTGCCGACACACCATGTCGGCCGCCACTCTTGTCACGTTTACTTGATGACCTGCGTGATCCTGATAATTAGCCGCCAACGAATTTTCGTTCTCCGTAGTCTTACTATTCACAAATAGAAGAAGAACCAAACCTGATCTAACCTATCATAACCAACATTTTCTATATGAATTGTAAAAGTTAATACTAGAAAGATTTACCATGTATAAGAAAATGTTACATAGTTAATATTATTTCACTATTGAGTGTATTATTTCAATGATAACCAAAAACCACTATTCTTTTTATTTTAATGTGATTCTTGAAGTTCGTCCAAATTCTAGTGACAATCTATATATTTAAACGTTTTCTGACAATGATGATACCACTGTACAGATTACGGAAATCTCAAGAATCTAAGCGCTCCAGAGGGAGATACAACAAGAAGAGCGACGGATGAAGTAGAAGCGAGACAGGAAACTGTTACCCAGGCGGTTCTTTGATGTCGGATGTTTACTTTATGACCAGGGCATGATTGTGACATCGTCATACTGTACTGAAGGGCTCGTGACGTCATAAATGAGATAGTCCTTCCTCCCATACTCGAAAACCTACACCATTGCTACACCTAACTTGACCTCTCTCTCTCTCTCTTTTTCACCCCATTCTTTTTCTCTTTCCATTTCATATCATATAATCTACAAATGCTTGCAATCCCTCGACCATGCAACCTCTCACGGACCGCCAATGTTGTGTTGTTATAGTCGCTTGATACATCATGCGCGCAAAAGAGACGAATCTATTTATAATAGTCATATTTTTCTTAAGATACTTAAAATACTACCTAAATAAGGTAAACATTTTTACGATATGTGCTTTAATATATATAAATAATTATATTTCTGCCATATCCCCACATGCCCCAATATAAATAGTTCAAACTTTAATGCACGATATTTTGAGAGAACAATTATTTCTTTCAATGGATTATATATTTTACGTAAGCGAGCAGGTTGATATAAGACTTCGTCAAGGGAAAATGGGAACGTTGCAAATATATTAACAAATAATATATTTAAAACGGTAGACTAGTCCGATATGCACACTGATAAAAGAATGACAAAGATAAGGCTTTCCGATGTATGACGATTCCTGATCGTAGCTAACGTGATACTTCAACGAAAGGGTGAGTTAGCCGAGGTTTACGAGCTGGGAGAGTCTTCTGACGAGGGCCGCGGCTTTACGTCGTCATGTGTCACGCATCGTTACTGCCGCAACGCCGTTATGAGACATTTACGATAAGATATGTCGCACCTTTCGCCCCTGACAACCCACAGATTTACCGTTGGTGGCGAGAATATAGCTTAAAGAAGATGAGACGAAAAGGGGGAGGAAGGCCAGAGAAGTGCTACGTCATGGTGGCGGTAATAGCAATATCTGAAAGCCACTTTTTACCTCGCTGCCCGAGGAACAATATTACACGCTTAATGACTTTGGGTATTCCATAAAGGAATGTTTCTCCAGAATTCGTTGAATGATCAAATTACATAATGAATGCGTACAAATAATGGCCGTTACCTCAAGCATAGATATAACTACTAAGTGAATATTATAAGCTAAGCAACAAAATACTAATGGGAGTAGTAATTTTAGGTCAAATATTGATATCTAATGAATGTAAAACTCAAGATTATATAAGATCAACTATAAGATGCAAGATCATAAATGGAGAAAAATAAACTTACAGAATACATATAAACGTTAATTTTTTTTATTTCCTTAGAAAATATTTGAGTATCAAATAACCGGTCTGTAAAACGAATCATCTTTCATGTCATGTTATTAATGTATTTCGAAAGAAAAACAGAACGCAACTGCCAGACTTAATGGATAATTTATATTTGCAAACAGTGAAGACAAGTGTCATTTCATGTAGATAACTGCACAGAAGGATCTATAAATTATGTATATAATTGTATATGTCAAGAGAGCAATTTTTGTGTGGTTACATTACAGTTATGTAATGTAACCATACAAAAATTGCTCTCTCGACATATACAATTCTGTTTATTGAAAAATCCCTGAATGTATGATATGAATCATCTTTAATTGAGAATCAAGTTGTGACATCACGATATTCAATTTGTAAACATTACTTTTTGACCAGAACACTTACCAAATCAAAAGGCAAAAAGAATGTAATCTATTATCTGTAGCCATTGTTTTCTACTTTTTCCTGAAGTAATGTTAATTTATACGTCACGATGTGTGATGTTTTGAGCTTACAAATGGCAACACTTCAAAATTACAAAAGGAGAAAAAAATACTTGAATTAAAGAAAAATTTATTAAACTTGAATTTAACATTATGTACTTTTCGTCTGCTTTTCGTGTTAACTAAACTCGTTCTACGATAACGTGCTATAAATCTGTTTATTAATAAAAATAATTAGTTTATATTTTCCAGTAAAAATAATGAAGAACGAAGATATCTTAATGGTGTTTCCGACAGAGGACAAGAACAAAACAGCGTTGCTTGTTTAGGACCAAGCGTATATTAACTTCAGTTTCTGTAGTATAGTTGCTTGACGAACGCCAAGTTTCCTACTCCTACCAAAAACGCTAATGGAGAACGTATACTGAGGAGCGGGGAGAGGGATACTTAGCAGACTTAGCGCCCGTGGCTACTTTATTTACGCTATCCGACGCACACGTCGACCGCGATGGCAACGACAAGCCTATGCATACAGTAGCACTCGATGCTAACCGACTGTGCAAACACTGTCTGCACAGTTCATGTTTGTGGATGGTCCCACTGCTCTTCGCGATTGCGGTTGGTCCCTGCTAAACTGACGTCATGATACTCTTGTCAGTCGAAATGTCGGTGCTACTGTATGCTCTGTTTACAGAAACAACTTTAACCTTTTGATGCTTTCGAAAAGATCCTCGATTGGTTGGCACGTACATAATAGGCAAGTATCTTTTTAGTGGAAGTAACAAATGATTACGCAATTTGGTCATTTTAAAAATTGTTGTAGAAATTTGCAGAAACTATTTATTCGTCTAATAATTAAGATATTTAAATTTCGATAATTTCTAAAATGTCAATTTCGGACCGTTCGCAATATCTATAAGTTATAATGCCACACTCTGTCCGTCAAAGCCATTCTTTGTCAGTATCGTTAAGGCGGCTCGGAATTGCAGGATCACTTCAATAAATTCAAGAGAAATACAAAGCTTCTTTACATAAACGACATACAAAGATATTCTCTCATCTTAGCGAGGAGGGTCACGCCTGTCCACCGCATTCGACCCTCAAATATTTCATGTTGACAATTTCGACATTAACTTTATTCGTCAGGGACTTATGTCTATCTACACTAGCACCGTATTCATTCATACGACACGCCGTGCACGCTTCTCAGCCTTTTCTCTTCCTTACGCTGTGACAGGCAGCTGTTCGCGCCCCACGTCCAAAGTCATTATATACAAACTGCGTTCCGTTGCTTTTGTACCTTGGGACGCCCTGTTTGGACAGGTCTCGTTTCCAAATGTCCAGCACAAATTTCCCACTGTACGATATGTCACCTAGTTTTCAGACAGTTTTGCAAAAGTATATAACCTGGTTTCATAAAAACTATGTAAACCTAATGATTAAAGCAACATTGAAGAAAGCTATAGATAATCATTAGTGATTCAGCTATGATATTTATTACGGGTACGTTTCCAAATAGGTTCTCTCGATGCATCCCTACTGAACTATCGAAACAGCACTGGAATCACGAGATATTATCCATCGGAGGATAGAAGGAGACACAAGGCGCTGAGACGTTCGAATATGAACATTTGCGGCCGCAAATTATTCGTATCCCCGTCTCACACCGAAACTGACTAACAGTTTTGTAAAAAGCTTTTGTGAGTTCACCGTGGTCGTAACTTCAACTTTGTCGTCGACGGTGTTTCCATCCTGGGACAGGAGACGACCAGACCTGTACGCCGGTGCCGGTACCAGTGCGGCAGAGGGATTACAGTCGAGCACAAAGGGGTCGGCGACGGCGGACCCGTGGAAAGGGAAAGGTATAGGGCACGAGGAGATAAAGCGGGGAGAGGGTAAAAGAGGTACCCTCCCTCTCTGAAATTACAGCCTCGTAACTCCCGGTAAGCGGGAAAGAGCGTATGTGACAGCGGGCGGACAGGCGCGCATGGTTTTCCGGAAGTTTTATAGCCATCAGGGGGGGTGTTCCAAGGGTGTTTCGGGCCGAGCTACCCGGCCGTTGCCTTACGCGGTCTATGCCGTTACACGGTTCCCGCATTCTCGTAAACAACCGGCCAGACGTGCTTATCGTGTTCCCGCGACGCGCATCGACTCGATGCCTCACTTTGATGTACATCAATTCACATAATGTTTATGTTCATCAGAGAAAGCTGCTTTGTAACTTTTGTAAAATTCGTAAATCTAATTGGTGTATGCTCTTAATCTTGACTGAATCTAAGAGCATGTGGACCAATCAGATTCACGAATTTTACAACAGTTGCAGAGCAGCTTTCTCTAGTGAACGCAGCCAATATTCCAAAGATTCGCGAGAGTAACGCAGATGGCGCTACACACGTCCTTTAAGACTTGCTCGGGATCAGACAAAGAAGAATTCACGCGGCTCAAATCCGGAAATCAAATCTAATGTTTGATCGAATGGACATCGCGAAAATCTCAAATATCAAGACGACTTATTCTCATATTTGTTAAATGTATCTTCTATCTTCTTTATATTGATTGTCATCATGTCTGCCAAAAACTTAGACTTAATTAGATATCACTACCGCACGCCATTAATCCCTAATTTTTTTCAACTAACTTGTAAATGCCAACTATATGCATAAATGTTATTTTATTTATATATACTAAATTATCAATGTGTCTTTATAATTTTAATTAGCAGTGTGTAATTACGTTTTCTTGTTAGAAATTAATGTTTCGGTCTAAACATGCACCACATAATATAACGCTTTGTTCAAATTATATGCCATCATTTTGCTATTATGCGTTAATATCCAGCGATATCAAACCGTCCAGGTCTACCGAAATTCATCGCTGCATCACGACTGTGTCGTTCCGCATCCGTCCAGCCTCAGTAGCATACAGCCGTCGTCACACGTCGATCGCTCTTCACTCACTTCACTGGACTACACTCACGACTACGATCATTTTAACGACGCTTAACATTTTAGCGAAAAGTACGCAATAAATTCCGATACTTAAAGAATATATTTGCAAGTTGCGAATCATGTACTGCTAATCGCAAATCAAAGATTACGATACTTTCAACAATTGATTAATTTTAAACAATTTTCTTAAAAGGACATGAACAATACAAGTATATTTTCAGTGAAAAAAATAGTGCATTTTATTAAATGAAATTATAAAAATTAAACCACATAAAAGTTTAAAAATTATTTTTAGATAAGATTGTTCTTTGCGGCGAAGGTTTAAGACACTTGATTACACAGTTAGCGAGTGGTAATTGGCAGCAGACAAGACAAAAATATCAATAGAATGTCTACGTTTTATAAATTTAACGGCAGCTCAGGGAAAAAATGTGACCAAAGTTACTTGAGTGACTGAATTGAAGCGTTACGATCGTTGCAACTCAAATCTCTGTGTCCAAGTTCTCGATTGCGAAGAGCTAAATACAAAAATACGGAAAGTCTATAAACTTACCTTCTCGCGCCGATCCTACTTTGCCCGAATCGAATTCTTCGATACGGCATCCGCGTCCACCGGACGCACCCGGTAAACTGCACCCTCAGGAATCGCACTCACTGTACGACCACAAACTTTAGCTCTGAAACAAAAAATAAGTTTTCTAATTAGTTGTATCGATAGATATCGCCATATGTCATAAGAATACAGAGCCTCTAGACTATACCTCTTTTAGAGGTCACGTGACGTTAATTAGGGAATTTGCAAAACGTATATTTAATCATCAATAAAGATTTCAAATGAAGCTGGACAATGGACATAATGATAACATTTTAAGTGAGATGAGAATGTTGAAAACAGTGTTTCAAAAATGGAAAACGAGGACGGATTCAAGCGGTGAAACGCTACAACGCGTTTGCCGCATCGCCGACGTCGATCAATCAATATACCCAGTAGTAGTGGCTGGCCATGTGATACTGTGAGGGGGATCGGGATGGATATTGGATTGCAAGATGAAAGCTGCTCGTTAAATTAGTTTCTAATCTGTCCGATCTCTGAAAGCGCTGAGTCCCGGGCTTCATTCTCGTGCGTCTAATCATTAATCTCTGCCAGCAGATGTGCCGCCGTCATTGATTTAAATCACCGGCGCGTTGGTTAACCCTTCCTAATCTACTGTGCCCGTCTGGACCGGCCGTCTGAAGTCCGATCGGATTGCCGGTAAGACGTAACGAGAGATAACGTGTACCTGCGTATATACAGAAGCGGAAGAAATGCATTCCGCGTTCCTAGAGTCGCATCTTGAAGAAAAGAAAGTCAAACTCTTATTTCAAACGATGCCATAAATCTTTTTTTCTCGTAATTCGACATAACTAATAATAAGTGAAACAATAGTTGAGTATTATTCGAAGCAGAGAAAAAGCAGAGAAACAATATACGGTCTTCCGAGGAGCTATTGTCTCCGCCTTGAAGTCGCGTAAGGTGACAGCGAATAGAAGAGGCAGGATATCTTTCGACGGAAATTTTGGTACACGCTCTTTGCGGGGCCGTCCGTGGTTCGTGAGCACAGCCGGAGACAGTAAATCAAGCTCCGAGAGTGAACTCTCGGCGGTAGCAAACAATGCGCGGCGTGACGAAGGCATTGTCGAGTTTACGCCCCGCAGGGTGCTCTCTCCGGCTAACATCCAGAGCTCAGTTCACTCACCATTATGGAACGAGAATAGTAGAGGGGGAAGGGGTGCCCCATCAATTACATGGGAAATTGCGCTCGCATTATTTATGTGCGTATACACCGACACGAGCCGCGCACTAGGCCACGCCACGCCATGCCACGCTACGCTACGCTACGCTACGCCACGCCATGCCACACTATGCCATGCCGCAGTTCTCCGCAGCGGTTATCGATAGCCCGACAAAGAGGACATAAATAACGCCTTTTGCGCTAGTACACGTTCTGTACGCTCATATTGGTATGCACGTGTGTATGTTCTCCCGTTATTCGCGCATCAGACGGATCATTCTTAGCAAAGCAGCGATCCATTATCGATACTGACGTGTACCGCCCTCCTGGCGTAGGGTTTCGCCATTAAATCGAGGAAGCGGAGGAACGCGATGTTGTTGGGACTCGCAATGCGTATTAGTGCAATAATTGTCGTTGTCTAGAATTTCATTATAAGCAAGTCTGAGTAGAAGATGAGGTATCGTCGTAGAGAAAAAGGTTTCGAATATTTCAATTGTTGCTGCGCACTATATAGATTTACATAATATACTCGCACGTATTACCAGTATTTTCTCATAATCTTATATATTGAGATTGGCGCCATTGAACACTTGTAAATCGAACTTGCGAATTTGCCGAAATTTCTCCCCTTGTCAGTCAATGTCAGTAACAACGACACTTAAGCACTTTTAGCAGAAATCATGTCGTGCGGAAATATCGTGCGACTAGCACGATGCTTCATAAGTCCCTTCGTACATAATGTATGGATACGTACGTACGTGAATAGGATGACAAACTTAACCTCCGGGCAAAGGAGTAGGATATACGGCAGAAGCTGCCACATCGGTGGAAAAGTCCGAGATGGCGGTACAGCAGAGAAGAGTGGAGGGGGAGATGGATATACGGAGCTGCCGAACGAGGCGACAGCTGTCGATTTCGTGCAGCCCTTGTGCAGAATGCGCCAGTGGAGTTGCAACCGACTACCCATAAATAACGCGCTCGTTTCTGGAGCGCGCGCGAGGAGGAAGGAGAAGAAAAAAGAACTGAAGCGAGAAGTGGAAGGCGAACGACAGCGACGAAGGAGGGAGGAATGTCAGCGACGTCACGCGAGCGTCGTCAACCAAGCGACGCGCGTTCGTACCGCGTTCGTGCTCGTTGACGACGTGGCGGGATTAGTTCATTACCCGTGCGTTATACTAATCGTGTTTACGCTTCGCCTGATCGATGTGCGGTGAGCGGTGGGTGATTATCCGTCGCCGAGTAACTCGCTACGGTGAGACACGGTAATGCGTGAGAAAACATGGACTGGTAAGGTGTGCTGGAGGCTAGTGGGACAAGATACTATTCCTCCACCGCTAAATTCACACTGATATTAAAACTTGGAGACTTCTTCAACAAAGATAGAGAAAGAGCATGCAGACACTATATTATCTGCAGATATTATAAAAAATGACTCGACATAAATATTTACAATATCCAAACGTTGTGATAATTCTTACTCCTAAGCATGATTAGCATAATTCATTGCGAGATGATGGAAAATAATGGAAACCTGTCGCAAGAATAACACTTTGAAAACCTGGCCGACTCGTTAAGAAGTCGAAGGGAGTAGAATTGCGTGACGAAAACCTATAAATCGCTCATGTAATTACGCACAGAGCACTGTACAGTGTGTTATTACCGAAGACCGATAACGATAATGTTCGCGCAAACCATGTGCCGCAGACTATATCTGAACTGTAGTTTTTGGGTATGAGCGTCAAGTTTTGTTTATGTCATTTTGTATAAAGGAAATTAAATGTGTCTAGATATTACAATAAAATATCGAGTTTATGTTTCGTATGAAACACAATATTATATGGGAAAGTTGTTCAGCGATATAACATGATTACAGTTAATAAAATTCTTAAAATTTAATTACGTATGCCATTTAATTTTCCTAAATCAATGCATTGTAAGAAGTTAACAGATTAATAGTTGACTAATAAACACGTATTTTACAATTCTAACGGTCAATGTTTTCTCATCCGAAAGAAACTCGAACAATCTCCGGACATTATTTCTATCTTATCTTTCTGTCGGACGACGTTCCGGGCGGTTGTTAGATACGAACAGTTTCCACGGAAGAGCATTAGCGGCGTTATTAGCGCTAGTTAGAGGATACGCTTTGGTGAGAGATGAGAGCGGTGTATAATTATCCGAGCCTCTTCTCCCGGTTGAACAGACGAGGACGATGTGTTTATGTGGCGCCGACCGAAGAAACCTGGCAGAGTGTCTTATATTATCTACGACATTAGACCTACCGACAGCGACGAATCGTTGAAGGAGGACAGCGAGTCGAAATGAGTGACAACATAACATTTCTTGTGCGCAGCAACTGCTCTCAAGATATTACGAATTTAACGTTATTTTATACACGTTACATCTCTAATTCAATGTACAATTATATGTACATTAGCAATAAGGAACAAATGTGCGTGTATATATTTGTTATGTTTAATTAAAGTGTCGAATTGAATCAGGTTGCATGATAATGTATGACTCAATAATCAATGCGAATTACGTAAATCACTTGCCTGTGTGGTGCATGTACACGTAACAAAATCCTATAATTTTGCGAATAGCAATGAGAGGAATTGACATTCGAATTTCCATGAAACAATTGATATGCGTTGCAATGCATCACTAGCGCATCCGTATCCGCTGACATATACCATTGCCATTACTACTTCAATCCATTTTAGTTGAATTCATTAATTGCTACAATATGCATGTAGACTCTTGTGCCGTGCATGCGTTTTAAACGTTTTCACATTAAATTTATTTCGGTATTAAATTTCACCTACGTGTCGTGAATATAAAAAGCTATTTCAATGTGTTTGTCAAGGTAGAATATATTACACTTGCAAAAAATAGAAATATACCTGATAATATTATACAAGCAGTTTTTTTTACAGATTTGGCATGTTAGATCGTGGTAAAACCATTGAACAGAGAGATACAAAACATAGCCTCTTACTTCTTTGCAACAAGTGTATGAACGTCTTCAATAGCGCTTTGTCTATATATCTAATCGGAATTGTGTTATAACAAATTTTAATGAAAGATAAACCAAAACTATCAAAGTACGTCAAATGACGGCTCCGAAAAATTCTATATTGCTCAAGTAAGAGACAAAAGTTTTTATTACAAAATATTTATTCTCTTTCTCGGCGGCAAGTGACGTTCAAAGTGATTGTGCTAGAAATAAGGCAGTAAAACGTAATTATTTGTTTGTAATCGCCTTAAAGCTGTAAATCGTCGAGTTGTTCGGGAAACAGAGCTTATACGTTTATACTACTTAATTACTCTCTCTGATATCAATGTAGTTTATTTATTAAGAACAATCGAATCTATTCTCGCCACTCGATTTACGCGTGGCGTTTATAGCCACGCTTAAAAATGGCAGGAAAACCTTCCATGATTTACACTCGTTCGAGCATTTTTTTTTTTACTACGGATAAAACTTTATAAAGCGACTTAATGATGTTGTCGTATATTGGAACCCAAGCGTGAGTGCATCGTCGTAAGCGCATGAACAAAGGCTGCATTTCAGTACATAGGAATATTATATGCTTTCATGCTCTACTTGCTTATATATTATATTGTCCGGTATTTTATTGCTTTATGTCGACGTGTACTAGGAGAGAAATTTTTATGTTGAGATAAAACATTCGTAATAAGGACTGTGTACATTGCGCTGATTTACGTAATTTATAGCCAAAATGTGTATATATAATGTCTTAAGATCAATAAATGTGTTAAGTGTACCTTGACGGTTACGAATTCGATAACATCTTCCGCATATTAACATTAGAACTATCGGCGTTGAATATATACCTAGCTCTGTCACACCCGTCAATTTGAAAAATGGAATTTTTAAGTGAATTTTTTAAAATAAAAAATATAAATGATGAAAATCAGCATTAAATAATTTACTTTTAACTACAAAATATATAAAAGCATATTTTTTAATTGAAATATTTATTATTAAAATAATTTTTCTTTATAATCCGCCTACGGAGCATATTTTTTGTAGATAGGTCTTATTTGCAATATACACCTTCCACAGACATACTTCTTGCACTCAAGGCAAGTAAAATTCGTCCTGTTTTTATTGGACAATCCAATTTGACAGGATTTGCGCGTATTAAAAATTTCTTTTGAATTCCTTGAAGTGCAGTCTATTGAGCTAAATTTCTGTTGCTGCATAGAATTTTTCTTTTTATTGTATTCACTTGCGAGTTCTTTCGCCAATTGGAACAAAAATTGCTTTCTAGTTATATTTGTGCCTATAGTTTCCTTGTATATTATCTATGCGTTGATTACAGCTAAATCTAGAATATTATAAAAAATTGCAAAGGCAAGGATCTACAAGATCCTGCTTTTACGCTATACTTGCGAGCCATTTGATCAACAATATCCATTTCCAACTTTGTTTTATTATAATATAATATAGTTTTTGATGTATGTTTAGTAATCTTATCAATCTTTACAAATTTATGTTTTGAACTGAAAAGTAATACGTTTTTGGCAGGTTTGCTTTTGTAAATAGTTAGGTTGATATTATCCGACTTACACAGTTGTGTGAAAAAATGATCCATATTATCTTTTCTTAGTTTTGCTATTTTTGGCAGTTCACTCCTGTACGGATCTCTGTCCGTACGGAACACAAATAAAGATAAAAATCTTTGAGATACATAACGCTAATTCTTTGTATAAATGAATGAAAAGATACTGATGTACATTTTTTAGTCTAAATCTCATTTTATAATTCCTTTTATTGACCCGTCATTTTGAGGGGTCTTCGTATATCTAAGTATACTTATAAATTGCTTATAAATACTTATAGGTTACTTATAAATTCATATAATTATATCAACACGATGTGTTAATAATTTAAAAAAAAAAATATCTGAAATCTGTCATTTTGACAGGTTTGATAGTTCTAGTGTTAAAGAATCAAGGTAGTAATGCGCATAACTTGAGATATCTTTTTCGATTCGTATAATCAATATAAAATTTATAAGCAAAAATAGACAAATGGTCTATGTATCATTCACCTTGTGTTTGCAGTGACCTCTAGTTTTCCGCAAATCTTAACAGTTTACACGTGCATGTCGTAAAAACGTTCAAGTCCCGTTATGACGATATCAGTACTTCATTAACAACGCCACGACACTAGCAAACGTTGAAGGTTGAACAGTATCGATACGAACTAGTAAAACACGGGACTCCCTCAGCGACACAAGTCGTAGTGGGAGTCGTGAGAGGGCACTCTGCGCCAGTTGACACGTCGTTGTCCAGGTCGCTCGCACCCGGCGAAAGTGTCGGCGTAGCGCTAACCGACAACGACCACCGTGTCGCTACGGCCGCCGCCGACGCCGCTGCTGCCGCCGCCGACGCCGCTGCTGCCGCCGCCACGGCCGCCGCCGCCACCGCCACAGCCGCCGCCACCGCCGCCGCCACCGCCACCACCACCACCACCACCGCCGCCGCCGCCGCTGCCGCCGCCGCCGCCGCCGCCGCCGCCACCACCGCCGCTGGTGCTGCTGCTGCCGCCACCGTCGTCGCTGCCGTAGCCGTTGCCTTTACGTTCGCGTCTTTCGCCCGTATTGGTTACTCGCTGCAGCTCGTAGTGTTTCGTGTCGTTCCGTGCGTGTAGTCGCGATACACCGTCTGGTGTTGAGGAGGAGGCACCTACGATGTTGTCGCTGAGACGCAAAGGAGAAGTGAGGCTTCCCGGGGGAGCGAGTCTGCGGTGTGTGGTGGGAGAAGTCAGCTGAACGATGGATCTGTAGGGGTGAGCGGCGAAGAGGGTAACCGCGCTCCACGTCGACCGCGCGAAGCGGTTCCAGTCGTGAGTCAAGCCTCGTCACGTCGATTTGTCGCATTGTACTGTACGGTTGTTTTAACGCGAATCATCTTCCTCTTCATCCGTACAAACGGATGCGTATTGTCGCAGTGTGCTGCAACGAGTTGTCATCTTTTTTGTTTTATGCCCGTTCAAAGGAAACGTATTGTGAACACGAAAAAGTGTCGTTCGTTATCGAAAGCCACCAGCTTCATGCATGGCTACGTTCGGGAGTGATACTATTGTTTCATTATTGCAACGGATATAAGAGAAGAGAAAAGTGAAACAAGAATCGCAAATTGATTCACTGATGAGCCGAGGAGTGTGATAAAAAAGTGGTGCTTTTGTTTAGTACAACCAACGGTGTGAGCGAGGATCGACTGCGAAGGTTTTAAGATGCTGACGTCCAATGCGAATCAGTATCTCCGTCCTGAATATCTCACACCGTTACCTACTACGGTTAGTTTCGCATTGTCCGTTTTTCATCATTTTTCTTTCTACATCGTAAATTACAGACCGTATCATTTATGCTCTCTATTGCTACTTCATCTCGCAATTTGTCGATTTGTAGAAATATGTATTTTTCAACGTTTAAAATACATATACAAATGAATGGGACATCTAATAACTACCGCATCAGCAATGAATTCTTATCCCATATTTTATAATTTATGAGTGGCTTAAGAGATTTAAAAAAAGATTGAGAACCCGTTAAAGATGATCCATTGAGAGGTCCGCCTTCCACTAGCCACAGAGTTGAAAAAATTATGGCAGTGCAAGCATTAGCCTCACAAAGTCGACGAATCACCGTCAAAGCGACAAGCGAAGCTAAATATTAGTTCAAAAATAGCTCGTAATATTTTGAAAAATGAAGACAAAAGATATAGACAAAAGAAATCTATACGGGAAAATAGCTCATCTATAAAGAAATAGCTGCCGAGAAGCGATTCAGAAAATTGATCTTTTCTTTAATCAAATAAACTGAAATGTTGGCGAAATGTTGGAAACAAATCTATAAAAAAAAATGCAATTTCAACCTCGAATTAGCATTGGCAAAAGAAAGTTGTGTGCAAAGTTTGTTTCCCATTTTTAAGAACAGAGGATAAATTGTCCTGGAGGAGGATTGTCATGTCGAGACTTCTCAAAAATTGTAATAAACAAATCCAAGAAAGTGTGCTGCAATACCGTTCCTACTCACCAGATTTAACATTAGCCGACTATTTTCTCTCGTATAAAATGAGATTGCGATTGTAAGGAGAAAGGTTGAAGACGTGGACTCCATTCAGAAAGATGTAATCGAGGTGCTTCAAGAAGATTTCGAAAGAAGGATTTCAAGAAGCTTTCCGATTTCTTGATTCCGGCGCAATAAAAATTGTACAAAACATTAAAAGGCAATTCTATGCTGGACATTAAATAAAACAAATCTTTTTAAAATAAATCTTTCCGTAAATTAAAAAATCAACCTGGGAATTTTATAGGCGTACTACGTAAGTCTTACTTGAAAATATCTTTTCCAACGGCCCATTAACGTCGTCCGTCGTCGTTTCGTTAATCCCGACGGAAACACGCGCGCGCCGCGTTTTATGCTCCGAACTCCTGTAAACTATTTTGGGGACAGAGAGTGTTGGCAAAGTCTCGGTGTGCATCGGCCTGCTGATTTACGCGCGTCGTAAATCAAAGCGCGATTTGGTAATACAATGCTGATTGTTGAACGCGGGCGACGAGATAGATTGAAAAACGTGCGGAATAGAGAATTCGATCGACTTTACGATATCTGTTAAAAAGACATAGTGCCACTGATTTTCCGACAATTATTCTACATAAAAGGTTTTCTCTTAGTAAATGTTTTTCCGGAATTATTAGGCCTACCCTAGGTAGTAACCGTTGATCCAGAATACTTTCTTCTCTATTATTTCTTGGAATTAGATTCATGGCCGTAAAAGTTCGTATTCGTTGGTGTATGTAAGAAGAATATTCAAAAGATTTATGAAGCAAGAGTCGCGTAATGCGCAAGAAAAGGAAAGACGTTCGTCACAAGCGGCATAAATTAGCCGCGACAATTAAAAGCCGGCGGGCGGCATTAGCGGATTAAAATATTACGTTCGAACGTTCCCGTTAACTTTCACGAGCGCAATTAATATATAGCTTCGCGTTGCCGTAATGGCCTGTTGCAATTCACGGCATTAATATCTGTCGGCGTCGCGCCATTAGTACGACCGACCGTGAGCGTGGCGGGTTAGTATTGCATGATCGTTGCATTTTAATTACGACGGAACATCTGTTCGGTGGACGTATCAGTCGATGAGAAATATCGCTCCTCTATACGTTAATTATACCGAGTGCATCATCGTGACCACTTCGAGTCGGGAGATATACGAAGGCGCCAATATTAAATTCCCGCACTTATACGCTAACGACGGTTGTATTGGGTAATTTCATATTGATTATATTTTGCGACGCGATTCACTCGCAATAAAGAAAAATCCCGCGTGGGTAATCGTCAACATGTGGCTGTTGCCGCGCTTCTTAACAATAATAACGCCCGTGTAAATATTTCTTTTTTTGGTAAAAAATAATCAAGTTATGCGTATAAAGGTTATTATTTTTCAGAAATATTTTCCTCACAGTTTACAATTATATTTATACTACATCAAAGTTGCCATTGCTATCGTAATGTGCTTTCGATTGCGATTATAACGGCTGTTAGAAAAATATATAGGAATACAAGCTCTTATGTGGCAAGCTTCTCGGCAATCGGAAATGGTCAGCATTCTGGCAAATAGGTTCGTCCGTCGCACCCTTTGTACGCATTATTTCTCGCTTGGCGAGCAAGTGACGCGGCGCTGTAGATTGCGGTTTGCGTGTCATTAATTAGACTTGCCTCTATACGAATACTTCACACGCCAAGTTTCGAGAATTGTCCAACTTTATACACTGCAGTTTTACTATATCGAAAATCGCTTTGTACTTTGGAATACAAATAATGTTGATAAGCGATCATCGCTTTCTCTCAATAAACAGTTTCATTCCATCAAATATTATAAAAATGTTATAAGAAAAAAATATTACAAGAAAAATTCATTACATATTTTTCATATTTGATTCCAGTTAGATGCGAAGAAAAGTCCACTCGCGCTACTCGCTCAAACCTGCAGTCAGATAGGAGTGGATCCCCCGTCCAACAAATCATTACTAAGTTCCTTGGACAAATCGTCAAGATCATCCAAAACCGCGGATCAATCCCGCGAAAAGTCCTCGCCAGTGGTGATAGTATCGGTCGCGGCTCCAACGTCGGCAGTAGAATCCACAAAAACTAGTTTCAAGCCGTACGAATCCTGCCTGGGACGTGAGAAAGCGTCCAGTCCAGACGAACCGCGATCAGCGTCGAGCCATTCGACATCTGGCCGATCCAGGACTCCCGGTAGCGGTGGTAAACGATGTCCCAGCAATCAGAGCGCTACATCGATACGTGCCGTCACACCACAAGGCAGGAAAACACCAAATGGTGAAGTGACACGGGAGTCGCCGGTTTCTAGGAGTTCAGCGGTACCAATGAGCGCGACAGAAACTACCTCGAATCAACCAACCGTCAGTAGCCCCTCGTTACAAGTCAAACCTGCCTATAGTCCCGCGGGGGTGCTGGCGATGACTGACCCATCCATCAAGGATCTACCCTTAGGCACGTTTAAGCCAGGCGTCAGCCTTCCAACTTCCACCGCTGCTTATTTAGGCTACAGTCCCGGTCAGTTACCCATAGATGTAATGGCTAGTTCACTCATGTCTCAGCATCATGCTGTTCTGAAGAACGGTCTCGTCGCCACTAATCCTTATCTCGGCTACACGAGATTGAAGACCAGCGCTGGACCGGCGGATAACTTGATGCCGGTATGCCGCGATCCCTATTGCACCGGCTGCCAATTAAACTCGCATCTGCTATCGAATTCGGCGACCGCTACGATCGTTGCCAATGGCAAATTGCCGTCAGGTACGAGTGTGAGCTCAAGTTCTTGCCCGGCTGGATGTGCTCAGTGTGATCACAAACCTAGTAGCGCTTCGCCTTATGGACCGCTCGGTGCAGCAAGCGCCTACGCACATGCACAGTTAGCCGCACTAGCCGCAGTTTCGCAGTTACCTTACGTATGTAACTGGATCGCCGGCGACACTGCGTATTGTGGCAAAAGGTTCGCCACATCGGAGGAGCTGTTGCAACATCTCAGGAGTCACACGAGCGTGTCGACGGGCGGTGGCACGACCGATCCTAGTGCGGCCGCGACTGCTGCTGCGCTGTCTCTGCTGTCGCCCTCGGTCGGATTGCCTCCAACTCACCCTCTGTTCGCCCGAACTTACCCCACGCCACCTTTGAGTCCGCTCGCGACCGCGCGCTATCATCCGTACGGGAAACCTTCGCCGCTGATACCACCGTCTCTACCGTCGTTGGGTCTGCCGCTGCCGCCATTGCCGCCGCCGCCGCCACCACCACCTCATCCACACGCGACTGCTGGACTGCCGGCGTATTTCTCGCCGTATTCTCTCTATGGACCCCGTCTAGGTACATCTTCCGGTATGCATCAATGAGTTCTTGGTAGCGGGTGCTTGTAAACCAATGGTTTCCAAGGCGAATCAACCGACGAACTGTGATTTCTGCACGATTAAGAGTAAGCAGGGAATATCGGTTTTATGTGAGATGCTTCGAGCGACGAGCCAATCATCAGAAGAAATCTCAAGTTACCGAGCTACACGATCTCAATACGACAGAATTGTTTCTTTCACGATACTATACGATAATCTATGCTCGGTTGGTCTTCCGCAAATTTTGTGCAAAGTTTTTCATCTGATATCAAAAATTTAACATAGGATTCAAAGAATTAAAAACGTGCGCATATTAAACAACACCATCTACCTAGGTGCAAAACGCTATTGTCTCGATGTTGACGCAAATAGGTTTGTTGTATTATACATACTATACATAAAATGCTTTAACAAATACAAAGATAACTTTCAATAGACTTATCGACTTTCCGAGGGCTCTACTTTTCAAGTATCGCTATCGGTGATAAAAAGTGCTCTCAAATATCTACATGTGAACAGCCTTACTGTTCTCATCAAAATAAAATGAATCCCTACCTCAGCTATGTATCAATAACCAAACTTAATCTAACCAAACCTAATCTTAATTTAACCAAACCTAACATCACCAAAATCGTTAAAGAACGGTTGCATTTCTGTATAACTGGTTCGTATGGATAATACCTGTCACTTACGAATGCCTATGAATTGCATTCAGAAAGAAAAGCCTGATGCATCACTTCGCTAAGCTATTGGCTACTTTCGCCTGCTACTCTCGGCATAGTCTCTTAGATTCGTAGTTTTCTCATATTTGCCACAAGTGCTGCGATATATCGAGGCAAGCGACTTTCAAATAGCGTTGAACTTGTTCATTAAGGTAGTTGTTTCGCACGGTGTAACGAATTGGCATCAAAGATGCCTCTCATAAATATATTATTAAACACAATTATGCCTTTATATAAATGTGTTTAACTATCTAAATAATAGATTTTAATTTAAAGTGAAGTTAAGATATAAAATATATACGCGATATATTATAAATACGAAAATATTTATTTTTTATTACTCTTATTAATGATTTATATTTATACATTGGTTGATCTGATCACAGAATGATATCACACAAAAATATAAAATATTTAAATATGTGTATATGTATATATATTTGGAATGTTATTATAAATTATGAACTTTCTACAGTTGTGATTACAAAAAAGATGAATTCAATAATTCTGAAATTTATTATGAAGAAATATCTGTATATTGATATTTCATATCATACTTACTTTTCACAATACTTTTCATTAGTCTTTTAACTATAGTATAAGAGGAATTCAAGAGGATGCTGATCTCAAGGAACGCGTATGAAAACTTTGGTTACCTTTTGTCAACTTCCGAATGATCAATCCTTTTTTTAATTACACGAGCAATAAATAATATTTCAATTTTATTTCAAACAACTACCTTAATATAGAGACAACGCAAGACTGAGCATACGTACGCCCGTATCTAATTCATGTCTAATTTGTTAATTTATGTGAAATTTTGAACTATCATCAAGCTGGTAACCAGCTCTTTCGTGTATATTTTGGAACATCAATTCACATTTAGAACGATTTAGAACGGGAATAAAGAATTTCGAATGACCAAGCCCGCAAAAAGTTTTGCATGTCGGAGAGATTAAACTCTAGGATATATGCAATGCAACGTTGAACGTATTACCCTTAAGTTGATAAATTCGTTATAGCTAAACAAGATTTTTATTCGGGCAAAGAAAGTGTGTGCGTGAGTGAGTGAATTTTGATGCTTTACTTAGTCCTTGTTCATCTGCTGCGTCTGGCGTACAACTCAGTACCGAATGACGAGTGCCACAGCAAACGTGGTCGAAAAACCAATGTTTAACTGTGATTTCTGAGTGAGAAAGTTGATAGAGAGAGGGGAAGAGATATTCTCCTGTGAAAGATTTGCGTGTGTGTGCGCGTGTGCGTGTATGTGTATACATGATTAGAATTTATTAACGAAAACGCAATTACAGAAATTTTATTTCGAACGAAAGTAATCGCATAATTGGATAAAAACAGATATTTTATCAGACAATTATTTGGCGATATAAAGGATTTGCTATGTGCTAGTATAAAAACTTTAATCACTTTACGATGGTAATATATTATATAAAATTACTTTTATGACAGTACTGAAATATATTTTTGCGTGTTTAAGTTAAAAGAAATTAAAATATACATTCAGTGTACCATTGTGTTATGTGTATGTGGAATGAAATATACGATTATATTTACGATTATATAAACGAAATACATATGATGAAGTGATAAGTCTCAAATCCATTATATCAAAAGATCTCCTCGATGTATCATTATTTCATCGATATATTTTCTAACGAACAAACACATGCACAATGTGATGATTTATCACTTGCTTTTTATTTGATTGAAATATTACATACGATTCTTTCAAATATGTATTGTGTTTGACTCAGAATCTTTAAAAATTACGGATGATATCATTTGGATGTCTCTCAAACATATTTAAACGCTAAACAAAAAAGCAGTAACAATATAAAAATATGCTATTTTTTATTATTTTGTTCGAAATTTATATCAGAGTTTTCCTAATTGAGGCATATTTTGTTTTTGCGACTACGAAAAATAATTGATATAATGTATAATCACTATATATGTACTATTTATAAATTATATTCATGTCCTATTTCCATTATAATTATTGTACATTTGTTTATAGACGCGTAAGTTTAACAAATCTCTAGTGAGATGACGAACAGTTCTGATATACATACATGTGTATATACTTACATGCATATATATACATATACTATATATATATATATATATATATATATCTGCGTCTATTTTTGCGTAACCAAAGTTTTAGTAACTATCGATATTATACATAGCATCGAACTTTATGTGTATACATATTAATGTGTACTGAAGAACGAAACGAATGATGATTATATTAAAAGATATTGTAAGTTGTAAATAGCTTTATTATAGAGCAACGTTATAGTTATGGTTGAAAGACATTGAGAATATCGACGAATTTGCTCACAGTTGTAATTCTTATGTTGACTTTCTGTATTTCGGATTTTTATGTATAGTTAAAGCAACGTCATATATATATATACATAAAGCAAGCATTTATATATTTTCACTATGTCAACGGATAAAACCGAAAATTAAAATGCATCAAATGTCGTTGCAAGATAAAATGAAGAAGAAATAGGAATAAACAATCTCTCTTCTCTCGTAATCTTAAACTGTGTCAATTTCCGAATTTACTCCGCAAACACAAAATGCTTGATCTATATGTGTTATACGTGTGTATGCATGTCGTTGAGTTAATATGTTGTATTTTCTTGACACGCGTCACAGTGTCATTTTCTACGTCAATTCTCGTTATCTTATAATTGTTATTCTATGTTATTCTGAAGCAGCTTCATTCTTTTTAGATTCAAAATACATTAAAACGTTTCTTACAAAAGGAGCATTTTTATATTTATTAATACTACTAATATATATATAGCCCAAAAATATTCCACAGATTATCTTAGGATTCTTCGCAAAACGTGAAGATGACGCGCATTTATGTTTCCAAGAAGATATTATGAGAAATGTAAAATATAAACGGTATTTCTCTCTAATGCTAACGTCACGTCAAATTATTGCTTTTCCATTATAACACGATACAGACACAACAGCAATACATCTCACGCGAACATGGATATAATGAAAAGCGCAACACCAACAATAATAATATTTTACAGTTGAATAAAAGAATAAAAGAATATTTCTTTCCATATAGAAGACGTCAACGCTGAGACAATGTTAGAACAAAAAGCGGAAGCAGATGCGTGAGAACTCGAGCAGCATTGAACGGTGCTTACACGTGGGATGATCTTGCTTGCCCTTTGAATGATTTATGGACAGACGTTGCGACTCCATCTACTTGACCTATTCACCTTGTTAGAAAGGATAATGTATTCATGAGTGGCCAACCTCAGCTAAGTTAGTTTCTATCGAACCGCGTACTACGAAACCAAATATAGGAAAATGGTTGCCGTCGAAAGCCTTTACTTTGAGTTGTGATTGTGTGTCTGTTTATAAACGTTGCTAGATTTTTTCATAAGAACTTCATAAGCTCTCGTGTTGTTTTTATTCTCATCTCTTTGCTACATATTAAAAAAAAAGATATTTAGAAAAGTAAAAATTTCACGCACACACACACACACACACATACACTTGCTTGCCAAAGTTGATTGTACAAAGTCCACTAAGTATGTTTCTTTTCATGTACCAACTCTCATAACATCATATGTGCATAATGTTTACTCGTCGAATAGTCACAGTTAATACGATGTGTAACGTGCTGTTCTTCGCCGTCATAGGGAAGTTGTACATCAAGTACTTAGTCAAGAATCCTCTTCCGGCAATGCTTTACATCATGGAAGGCATCGACGGCGGTAAAAGAAAGCAGCGGTACTTACTGAAGAGTACTTCAAGCGGATTAGTTGGCGCCAGTGAATTCAATGGTTTTCGTCCGTTGGTCGACAAACCGGTTTCATCATGCCTCCAGTATTGTTTTTCGTATACATTTCTACATGTGAACGTGTTTCCCTGCCAGGGTAACTGTTTTCGTACAAATATAATTTAAAATATTTTATTCAACTCAACTTTATTTTGGACAAGCGCATTTCGAGAAATAAAAGATCAAAGTCGGAAAAATTAACAATCGAAGTGCGATAAATACGGAGAGATCGATTAGGAACAAACAGAAAGCATGAATAGGAAAAAAACAAAACAAACATTCGAATAAATTGTGAAATAGGTATTGTGCGGAGAAGAAATCAAGTAATCCAATATACTTCAACAGACATCGCGAGAAACTTAGAGAGAAGATTGTCGATAGACAACGTTGCAGCATAAACGAATTAGACTTTAACACGGTTAGGCTAATTGGTCACACGCAATTACGAACAATTACCTTTACGAAATTAAATTATATGACCGGAGATTTCGTCGTCTTACACTCTTTTTTTTCTCTGAAAATAAATAGGAGAAATACCCTTAAAAGTTAAGATAAGTCAAATCATATCAAACCTAGTTAGCTCTACGTCATGCATGTGCCTACTTAGATACCTACATTAAGGACAAGACAAATAATACGTCAGCACAGTCAAAATAGAAAAGATTAGTTTCGTAATGATAAACAGCTGACAAAAAATCGCGCAATATGCTTCAACTATATATTGCAAGGTCGCTAAAAGTAGGAGTAGCGCGATGCATCTACAAAGGATATCTCGACGGAAAGAAACGAGCAACGGCGTCAGAGAGGTTTCTCGCAATTAGTCAAGTTTTCCGTGCGCGAGCGACCTCGTTCGTGTCCGGCAACCGTGTGGCACAGGCTTATTTATGGCCTCCGGGAAATGTGTAAACACGAAAGTGGATGTGAACAGCCAACTGTGACGGTATAGTGGGATTACGTACCCTCGGGATGGGGAGGTCAGACCGAATTCTCAATCGCGAATAAAGAAATTATTGAAAGAAGCATAAAACGAATTATTGTCTTAATATAAAGTCCAAAAAATAATCACACATTTCATAAAGTTGAAAGCTTTTGAAAAGCAGAAACTTTTAAAACTATTCTGAATTTCTAATTGGTCAACAGTATCATCGTTAATGCAATTTCATTTAATGTGTATGTCTATGTATTTTGTTTTTTTAATAGATAGATACCTTATATTTCAATGAGGCTATGTTTAGAATTTTCTGATAATATATAGATATATGTGTGTGCCGAATCTTTCGAATCTGATAGTTTCTCATCCTTTCACTCGACGATAATCGATTATTATGACGGATATTTCCTTCGAGTCGATTTAATGGAGCCGTTCTGCAACTGCCATTGTAACTCGTAGCCTCGGGGTGAGATAAATTGTGTTGTATAAATACCCATAACGACCGTAGAAGCTTCAGGAAGCTTCACTCGGTTAGAGTGAAAATTGGCCCGCGACAACAGCGACAAACGAAGAGTAAAGCCGATAACATACAGAATCGCTTCAGGAGGCTAAGTATCCTTTGATTTCTTTGTTCACCATGTATTTTGCGCAATATTGGATTTTCCATACAATCTCAGACTGTCGCCGATGAAAACACCACGTTATTGTCTAATGCAACAAGTCTGTCTCCACATTTTTTACGAGTATATAAATTTTTATATTAAGTTAAACAAGTGGTGAAGCACGGTCATTGAATCGGTAATGAAAAGTGACCATAGCGAGACAACTAATTTATCATAACAGGCTTATAATTCTATGATCTATAATCTGATCTCATATGTAATGGGGATCATTACCATAATGCTTGTCTTCGGATCACACTGCCCTGAAATCTGTGATCATTTCCGACAACCCGCAGAGTACCCTGGAGTTGCATGATTGTACGTTTATCTGATTCCTGTTATTTTCAATCATTACTCTCTCACCAGTCTCCCTGCATACTTCACCTCGTCATCCCATCATCAACAGGTAATTGTTATAATGAACAGCAAAATAATAGGCTTAATCCGATTGGTTCATACTTTATTTCGAGAGGCACAGCCGAACAATAGTCTGGAGGAATGATTCACTAAATCTGTTCAACTGAAAAATCTTCAGCTTATTATATCGTAGCATCAATTTAAATTTTAAAACATCAAATATCGTGCTTCATTCCTTTTAGTTGATAAGAAATATTTATTAGCTTTTTGATTTATTAAAACTTTTACTCTTAATTGTGTTCCTATTCTGTACCCGGCCAATATTGACTTTCGGTTTATTGGATATTTGATTTTTTGTAATCACCAAGGGCCTGTTATCAAACGTAATCTTTTATTAGTTAATTACTTTATTTATGATAAAAAAAACTATACCAATATTCTGTGTCTAAACATGAAAAAAATAGCTCTATAATGTAAAAAATTTTCATTCTAATACTCGAAAATAACTCAATTACTCTTTCCAAAGACATGGAAGATATATAATGCTCGTGTATACGCTTAAAACTCATCCACGATTGACAAGAATCTTTCGTATTCCATACTTTCTGCACACAATATTTTATATTTGTGCCACAAAACATTTTGGTACTGCGAAAGCAACGGGTTGTATTCAGGACATAAGTTGAGCTTACACGCGCGATAGAAGCTACTCTAAATAAAGCGGCGTATGTATGGTGATCGCGATATAGAATTTAGAAAGAGGGGTTGTAGCATCGCGACAGCGACATCGAACATATTCTATCAGTCTGATAGCTCTCAGTGGAATACTCCAAGGCGAAAGGGAAGTTAGGGCAGACGGTTTGATATTTAATATCGGTCGTGCACCTTAACATTGTCGGTATCGGTTTATGTTACTCAAGTAATCTTCGCTTTTCTTAACACTGTGACTAAACCCTCCATACTTAAGTAATGTACAGTACAGTAAATAAACGCTCGAGTGCAACACGGTTAAAACAAAAAAAAAACACTGATATATATATATATATATATATATATATATATATATATATATATATATATATATATATATATAAAATAAAATGTGAATCTCAAATTTGAATCTCAATATCCTAAAAAATAAAGTACTAAACATTAAAAAATGATGAATCTTATATCAGAAACGTAAACTTAATTCGATAAAAATTGAATAGAAAAATTGTAATATCATACACGAAAATTTAAACAAGGAATGTGAAATTATTTCACGAATGATTCCGCGTATGTAAGGCCACCTAAAAGACGATGCAACGATGGGCTATTTAACATTCCGCCTCATTTCCCACCGTTTCGCCTCCCTCGCCGTCGTCGTCGCCGTTCCGAGGAAACGTTCACGCTCGATGCGAAAATTGCCTCGCCAAGAATTATTGACTATAAATTACTCGCGCGCGTCTCGCTACCCTAGGCTTCGCGCCACACCGTTCCGGGCGCTCTCCACCGTTACTCATGCAAATGACGGCAGAGCCCGCGGGCCCCAAACGCAGCACTCGCTACTTACTCACCGTTACACGGAGATCTCTGAAACGAACGGAGAGAGGCACTTGGGTTCCGATATCGGGGCGAATTGCCGCGAATTTACATTTTATTGCGCGCACCCGAGACAGACTGCCGGCTACACGCTCGGATCTTTATTTGTTTCCTATTTACTACATTGCCTGTGTCGTTCAACACCAGCGCATATTTACGCGTATTGGTATTTGAGACGGCCAAGAGCTTCGATCTACAAGATACGATTAGTATTATAAACCGAAAAAAAAATACTTCAAGAGGCTAAATGATAGATGATGATAACCTTTTGTTAAATACGTCGTAATATTTAAGTGCACTCGAATCTCAACATTTGAATTTCCAATCTGTTCATGATTATAAATATAAGAGAGCAAATATAAACTTACTTTAATATGCTAATAATATCATAAATGGCGTTAAAACTATTACACGCACGCCATAATAACGTTGGCTTTTTATAAATGACTCATTCGAGAAAATACGATGAATAAATAGCTGGGATAAATAAATTTCGATCTATTGTTCCCTTTATGGTGAGAAAAGGACGCGTCGCGGTAGGTCGGTGGCTGTACGGGTGGTGTACCACGGAGCTAAATTGAATTTTTTCAATTCATTCCACTTCGCGCACGGCCGAGACGTTGGTGTAGTCAATGGGTATCTGTGCGCGACAGCCTCACCTATTCGCAGTAAATTCTCATTATTTTTAAATTGGAAATGAGAAGTGTGCGCGAGTGTGGTTGAGAGCATCTTCGTCGAGTTGCGTCGCACCGCGTCGAAATGCGTCGCGCCAGTGCATTATTCCACGCTGGTGCCTATAACGGCGAAGGAAGAGACGCAGAAATTAATTTAATTACGGGTCGGGAGTGTCGATAGCAGAGAGAAAGAGAGTCACCGTACTTTCCGGTTAAACAGCGTACGAAAAGACTGAGCTGTCGAGAGTTTTGGCTTACATGCAATTTTTCTTTAACGAATATTTATCCAAACAATTCACTATCTAGCTTTTGTATTGATAAAAATCTTTACATTTTACACGAATATATTATTTGGTTAAAAATTACAAATTTGGTTAAAGTCTACATTAAATTAACTAAAAGAGTGTTATTTGTTCACAACTCTCTCTCTTCTCAGGTTTAATGTGTAAAGAATTTGAGCATGATTATGATATAATTATAGCATTTTTCAGTTTTTAATGAGGTTTATTTATTAATTAAAGTCAAAATACAATCTGTGTAGCGAACAAAATGTTTATATAAATATTAAAATATTTTATAATATTGTATTAATAATAATAGCGATAATCACATCGACTTCAAGATTATGATGATTATAATGATATACTTTCCTGTCGATTTTAAAAGAAACACATTATAAATTATAAACACATAATATGATAAAAAGACAATAAACAATCTGATTTGCTACTACAATAATCAATAACTTTTCGTAAATATTGCATTAACGTTTATTTCTTTAACTTATGTGCTAAAATTCAGGTATTAAAAGAAAAATCTTTGTGTTCAGGATACTTCACATTTTATTTTTAATGTATCTTGTCTACCACTGAACTGCTTACATACTGAGTGTGTGTCGGGTATCCGAAGAATAATAATTCTAGACATAAGATTCTAGACGTAAGTGAAACGTCTGTCAGAGTTAGCAGTTCAGCTAGAACAGCACCGAAATTCAGAATTATTGCTAATCTGCGTACTCTCACGGACGTATTACAAATTCAGCATTAATATGGACCTCAACTACAGTTTGCACATCTTGACGAATGAGCTCGCGCTCTTTTGTACTAGTAATCGATAGTGAAGACATCCTGTGATAAGAGTGTAATGGGACAACAAATTTCTAAATGTGTATATTGTCCAAGATAAATTATATACCATGAGCTCGAATCAATTCGAAAAAATGCATTCCAGTTAATTTTTTGTGGGAACATTATTACGAGTCATTAGTACCATTAACATCAACTATACAGTTATTGCTATGGAAGCAGTACGACGATTCAGAGCTCGAATAAACAAACTCGTGTGTGTACATGTATGTATATGTTGGTGTATGTGTCAGTTGTGTCCGTGTGTGTTTGTTTGTTTCTTTGTTTGTTTGTTTTATATTGTCTTTAATTAATCTAATCTGCATAGTGTTAAATTACAGTAGTTAATTCATTTCATGTCATTCAAATATGTCATAAATCCGATTAAACTTATCGTCAGCATCGAAATAGCATAATTCATAACGTATTATTATATTAACAGATTTGTAACGCGGGATCTGTCCTACTGTATTTATCCCATTATATATACATAGCAGATCTAGCGGTAACTACAATCGATAACAACTAATACATTCTCATCTCTCAGTGTGGCGAGTATAACAGTTCCTACGACCTGTACATACAACTCGCCATCCTGAATAAAATATATTTCATTGCAACTTTTATTCAATTTTCTTTATCACCGACTAATTAATACGTTTATTGTCAATACATTCGGAATAATGTCACTGTGCCGCGTCTTGCCTGCGTTCATAACTTCCTTAAAATACAAATAAAATTGTCTTTCGATCCTAACAAATTTTCCATCTGCATCCGTATAACTCGATGAAGTTACAAGAATCGCATTGGTCACATTTATTTTATTCTCCATATCTTAACTTATCTTTATGAAATTATTTATTGCGTAACAATAAATATTTAAATATGATAAATACTTAAATCAGCCTATAATGTACACGATTATAAAATTTACGTTGTGGAATAAGAAGTTAATTAGTAGGTTAATAACAACTCTCTTCTCTACATGAAATATTTACTACGCTGCAAATTTCAATAGTGTATTCAATACATCATATGAATAGCCATATATATTATCTCATTCCAATAATATGTCCTTATATGTGATACACACACGCACGCGCGCAATTAAACGCAACTAACTCACGCACGCACGCACGCACGCACGCATGCACACACACACACGCACGCGCGCGCGCGCATACATAAATGCATATCCAGCCAACCACACAACACACGCGCGCGCGTACGTATATGTAAAAAGTTATATCAATTCAAAACTAATGCGATTCTTAGCATTTCATTCGATTTGATGTATTCGAAAGAGCTCATACTTTGCAACAACGTAGTATTCGTAAATACCACTATTGACAATTCTTCAAGTTCGATCAATTAGAATTTATTTGAACAATAAACGTATTATCTTCGCTGAAAAGCAAACAAGACAAGGCGTCATTAAATATTGTTCACAGGACGTCCGAATGAATTAACGAGTGCCATCGGTTAAAAGGCGAATTATTATATAACTGTTCATATTGACTCGTGTATATCTCAATCATTTGTCGCATTTTTGTATGTATATATGTATGTATATATGTATGTATGTATGTATGTATGTATGTATGTATGTATGTATGTATGTATGTATGTATGTATGTATGTATGTATGTATATATATATATATATATATATATATATATATATATATATATGCGTGTGTGTGTACATGTGTGTGTGTGTGTGTACACACATTATATATACATACATACATATACATATATATATATATATATATATATATATATATATATATATATATATATA